TTGAGGCCAGCCTGGGCAACCTAGTAAGATCTTGTCTCAAAATTAAAAAGGACTGGAGATATGGTTCATTGGTAGAGCACTTAGCATCTACAAGGCCTTGGGTTCAATCCCAGTACCACAGGGAAAAAAGGGTAGGAAGAGTGGGTGACTAGTGGTCAGTGGTAGAAAGGAGACTTTTTACTGTATGCCCAAAAGTTTTAAAATTGTACCTTTTCAATTTTCAAACTTATGAATGTATTAGCTGTTCAAAAATATATAAATGACACCAGAATGCATACTGTACAATTTCATTTATTTGAAATTCTAGAAAAGGCAAAATTAATTGAGATAAAACAATTTTAACAAGATGTAGCCCAGTAGTAGAATACATGCTTAGCATGCACAATGCCCTGGATTTGATCCCAGCACCACATGCACATGCTCACACACACACACACACACACACACACACACAAATCCTTAGAAAACCATAGTTGGTCTTAAGCTTCTCAGAAGCCCCAGTACTTTGCATAGTAACTGTTCAATGTATTTTGAATGAATGATGACAAACAAGTCTGGCATTGACTTTACTGGTTACAAATTATGTTTATATGTTTACATTTTATATGTTTTCTGGTAACTAGTAACGTCCATATCAATGCAAACGACTAAACTACAATCTAAAGGGGTTTTTTGTTGTTGTTGTTGTTTTGTTTTTGGGGGGGGGGGTACTGGGGATTGAACACTGTGGTACTCCACCACTGAGCCACATCTCCAGCCCTATTTTGTATTTTATTTAAAGACAGGGTCTCACGAGTTGCTTAGCGCCTCGCTTTTGCCGATGCTGGCTTTGAACTTGCAATCCTCCTGCCTCAGCCTCCCAAGTGGCTGGGATTACAGGAGTGCACCACCATGCCCAGCTACAATCTAAAGTTTTTGTTTTTTTTTTTTTTTTTTTTTTTTTTTTTATGTATTATTTATTTTTTTAGTTTTCAGTGGACACAACATCTTTGTTTGTATGTGGTGCTGAGGATCGAACCCGGGCCGCACGCATGCCAGGCGAGCGTGCTACCGCTTGAGCCACATCCCCAGCCCATACAATCTAAAGTTTTAAATTTATATTTTAAACATATTTGTATGCATATATGGGTATATGCCAGAAGCCATCCATGAATTTCATGAGGATCTTCTCTCGGTATGGTAGCCAGGGAGATTTAGGTTTGGCATTGCAAACTATCTGTGGCTCTCCCACAACAATAGATTGCCCAATGGACGTGACCTTTATCTCTACTCTGTTAGGAAGATACCTCAGTAGCTATGGAGATGGGTATAACCTGATGGAAACTGAACAGTCCATTTTTAACCTTTTTGGGTGAAGCACAGTCTATGGAAGGCCTTTGATGTTTCCCCATATAAATAAAACAGGCACGGGCTTCATTTTGCCATAGCACAGAAGCTCTATCCGTCTGATCAGCTTGCCCATCCTGCCCCGGCTTTTGAAACTTCTTTCTGTGTCCTGTGGTTTTTTTGTTGTTCTGTTTTTCTTAGCTTTTATTTCTCAGCCAGCCCATTCCACCCAGGGGAACCCCATTTCCTCCTCCTCCTCCTCCTCCTCCACCACCCCCACACCCGCGCAGGACGCAGAAGAGAGGTATATACCTATAATTTATATCAATTTAGCACTGCTGCACTAAATGTCTGAGATGTATTATCTCAAATGAGTGAGCTTATATCATTAGCTCTGACCTGCCAGCACTATCTCTGGTTTACCCATTTCTTTCCCTCATCCTGAGCACATCAATTTATTTGGTGAAAGAACTTACACTTTAACATCTCACTAAAATAGCTAATTCTAACCTCTCACAAGTGCTTGAGCACTTGCGTAAGTGAAATCCCACTGTGAATTCCACACCAACGCCACCTCTGTTCCAGCTCCTGCCACTCTGCAGTTCATACTCAAGAACCTCACACATCCAGAAGAGGAGGGAGCAGTGCAGTGGACAGCAGCACCCTCCTTAGAGACAATTTTATTTACAGTAAAATTCAGTAAGCATTTCAAAGCTTTCTATGTTCAGATACTACACTTTGTTTGTTTGTTTTTGTGCTGGGGGTTGAATTCAGGAGACTTTAACCACTGAGCTACATCCCCAGCCCCTTTTTTAAAATTTTGAGACAGGGGCTCACTAAGTTGCCCAGTCTGGGCTCAAACTTGCCACCCTCCTGCTTCAGCCTCCTGAGTTGCTGGGATTACAGTTTTGATCCTCAGCACCATACCTAGGCACCACTTTACACTCTTAGCATGGATTTGGTCTGGGAGAAAAAATCCTGTAAACCTGACAAGGGTTAAATCCCATAACACCAGAAACACTTAAAGGTGTATAAGCCAGCCATATGAGCTCTATTGCTCACAGAAAGGAAAAGCAAGAGAGACATTCCCCCTGAGAGGCCTAGGCATAGATACAGAGGAGGGATTCATTCTGTAAGGTCAAATGCACTGGTGTACACTCATCCTTTCCCTGGGCAGCTGCAATTTGCACTTCCTTAGAAAAACAGTGCACTAGAAAGCCGGATTCAGTGGTACACACCTGTAATCCTAGGAATGTGGAAGGCTAATGTAGGAGGATCACACTTTCAATGCTAGCCTGGACAACTTTGTGAGAACCTCAGCAATTTAGCAAAACTCTGTCTCAAAATAAAAAATAAAAAGGACTTGGGATGTAGCTCAGTAGTATACAATCCCCAGTACCAAAAGAGAGAGAGAATGAGAACCAGGCACTCAGTTGCATTCTAGAGATGTGCTGTCTAATAAAGACAAGAGAGCCACAAGCCACATGTGACTATTTGCATTTCATTTTAAAGTTTCAGTTTCTCAATCATACACATTTCAAGTACTCAATAATAGTATATGTGGCTGGTGGCTATCGTCTTTGACAACACAGATACAGAACATTCCCATCTATAAAAAAGTTCTATTGAGCTGGGGTTGTAACTCAGTGGTAGAGTGCTCGCCTCACATGTGGAAGGCATTGGGTTAGATCCTCAGCATCACATAAAAATAAAATAAAGGTGTTATGTCCATCTACAACTAAAAAAAAATTTTAAAGTTCTATTGACAGTAGTATTATAGAAAAAGAATAAATAACACTCTATTGAGAGTTGTAGCTAATATTCAAAAGATTTTGCCTTGGAAAAATGAAGGCTCACAATGAAATAGTGACAACCTAAATCACTAGACTCATTATTTCCCACAATATAACTCTAAAAAGTTCTCAAGTACAAACATTGTGGCCTCTGTACCTATTGTAGCCATAAGAATGGCTTTGTGTCACAGTGGTAGAGCACTTGCCTAGCATGTGGGAGGCACTGGGTTCGATTCTCAGCACCACCTAAAAAATAAACAAATAAAATAAAGGCATTGTGTCCATCTATAACTAAAAAAAAAAAAAAGGCTTACCATTTACTCCACCATATCCATGGTTTGCAAGACACTAACATCATCTTAGGAAAGAACATTGTTAAGAGGCACACAATCCGGGGCTGGGGATGTGGCTCAAGCGGTAGTGCGCCCATCTGGCATGCGCGCTGCCCGGATTCGAACCTCAGCACCACATACAAACAAGATGTTGTGTCTACCGAAAACTAAGAAATAAAATATTAAAATTAAAAAAAAAAAGAGGCACACAATCCTATTGCCATCTCTTGGTACTTGTACATAGGTAGAGACTAAATCTCCTATAGTAAAGAACTATATAGTCTATATGGTAAAGAACAAGCTTTGTGGCTCTAGAGCTCAGATATCATTTCTATGTGTTTTGTAATTGTGCCACCAAGACAGGACATCAATAACATGCCAATTTCTACCCCACCTGCCAAAGAAGTCTGTTTATTTCTCATCTTTGTGAAATACATGTTTTAAAACAAGATAAAAATCAGTGCAACCAGAATTAGCAATTCCACTTAAACATTCCAATTGTAGATCACTAGATTGTACTCTAAAATTTCAAGGGTACTTGCCGAAAGTGTGTTTAACCCCTTTGAGCCCCTATCTTCTCATTCATAAACTAGAGAAAATAATATCTACTTAAGCAATGAAGTGATAATTAAATGGAGCATCTATGCAAAGTACATAAGCATTCAACAAGTAGTAACTATTATAATTGTTACTTTCCAAGGCCACAAAACACCAATGTACAAAAATTTTTAAAAAGAGATAAATAAAAAAGACCAAATTAGAAAAATCCTTACTCTGCTACCTGCTAGTTGTCTGGCTTTGAATCTCTGTAACTTTAGTTTCTTCATCAGCTAATTAAGGATCAGAGTTCCCAATGATAGACATGTGTTTTCATTTCATGCAAAATGGCCAAGCAATGGTAAAGCCAGGTGTAAACTGGAGCTAATGTGAATTAGTACGATGCCCCAGCTTCCACACACACATAAAAAAAGAAGAGACAACATTAGGCAAGTATTACTTCACAGTAAAATTAATTTAACTTTTATTATGAACTGTGCTCCTAAGCACACCAAGGAAGCTACATTGCTGAAATCATCACTGAAACACAACCTTCAACATTGCCAACAACCCAAATTTGTAAATGCAAATGACTAGTTAGTTATTATCCTTGGCTACTCCCCCCACATGAGAAATTTGAAGTCCTTACAGACAAACCAGGCCTCATCTGTGAATGTACATAAAATAAAATAAAAGGTAACCAGTAGTCAGCAGCCAGTTACAGAAAGGGGAAAAACAGTGCTGAATTTTAAAAAGCCAATTACTAAACTACCTTTCTTGCAGGTGTGAAATTAAACCTAACACTCCATAAATTCTTGTTCATCACTGGAATGGCTGTAACACAATGAGATAACATTCTTAAAATAAAACTGAAAAAATATTCACAAGCTGTTCTTGTTTTAAAGATTAAGCAAAGTATACAATCTTAATACAGTTATAAAATATTTCCTGTTGCAGCATCTGCATTTTTACAAATTTTAATATGAAATCAAACATCATTTTAGATATTTACCTGTTTCCCATTAGGGTTTCTAAAAGCAGCAGTCATTTTGGTGGTAACCATGATAAGCAGAGAAGACAAAAAGACTGGGGATTTGAATTGAATTTATAGCTGACTCATAGGGAGTGTTTACAATGACATTGCCACTGGGATCCACCCATTTAACACCCTTTCAGTTCCATCCTGCACATTCATTAGGTAGTAACTTTAAGATTTTAAGGGAAGCTGGGAATGTGGAGGACTAGGAATACTGAAACCAAAGCTTTTTGAAGTCTTATGAGGTTGCTAACTGATTTTGGTTTTCTTTCTTCTTTCCTTTTTCTCTCCCTCCTTCCCTTTCCCTACCTTCTTTCCCTCCTTCCTTCCATGACTTGATGTGTCTCAGAATGACCTTATAACTGTTACTGTATTTAGGGTATTGATTCTAAGGCATTGACTAGAACGTTCTATAATTAGATAGTTTTAATTCTTGAAACTTGACCATAGGGAAAAAAAATATTATTTTTCTTGAACTGTCCTTTCTGGCTATTTTTTTACTCTTCATCTGAGGTTTTGGAATTCTGCAGGCTATCATGTTCTATGAAAGGATATTGTGGTCATATTATATCAGGGGCCATTAATTGAAAGTTTAACATAGAAGCAAATTACATACCTTGTAAGGGGTACCTAAATAGAAGCTACTTCCTCCATTCATACTTTATATACAAAGATATGAAAAATTGTGCTCTATACATGTAATGAGAATTGTAATGCATTCCGCAGTCATGTATTTTAAAAAATAAAATCAATTAAATTTTAAAAAACGAGATTTGATATACTGATTTTAAAGGACTACCTCTCTAATGGTAGTTTATGTCTTTAAACTCCTTACCATGGTCTGGGCACTGTGGAAGGACTATTCATCTATCATCTCACTTAATCTTCACCCTAACCCTATTGTAATCATTATTTACAAGTGAACCTCAAGCAAGTCATTAAGAATGCTTCATTTATTCACTCACAGAGTTATTGAGGGTATTCAACTATGTAAGCACTTTCCTATGAGAAAGGGGATTAACTAATATTTTCAGCTTCTACAACATCATTAATAATGTTATATGCTTTCTCATGCAGCTATCATTATTAAACTCATTTAAAAGCAAGAGAGTGAGGCTGGGGTTGTGGCTCAGTGGTAGCTCACCTGCCTAGCACATGTGAGACACTGGGTTCGAGCCTCAGCAACACATTAAAAAATAAACAAATAAAATAAAGGTATTAAGTCTATTTGTAACTAAAAATATTTTTTTAAAAAGGTTTAGGGCGCTATGGCTGGTCCAAAGCCACACTGGTAGTAAAAGGAAAAGAAAAACTGCAAGTGTAAATCTCTCTTGACTACAAAGCCTGTGTCATTTGAAGTTACAAAAATGTGGTGTCCATGTTCATACTCTCTTGAAGAAGGAATAGTCTGGCATAGAAGACAAACATGTAAATAAATAATATGGAAATCTAATATGGTGGAAACACACAGAAGGAGGTACCTTGATAGGCTGAGAAGTTGTACTACTGTATTTATCTATCTATTTCCCCTTCATCTGTCCCTATTAGAAGGTATATTGGCCGGATTCAGACTAAGCCAGTTACCTTACCCTAACTCCCTGACCATACTGATTGGTTCAACAGAGTAGGCCTGGGAGTCTTACCCTATAGTTTTTCAAACCACAGTTATAAAAGTCTTTTGCCCCCTCATTATTAAACTCTAAGGATGTGAACTCAGAGAACATGCCTATAAAACACAAAATGGAATGGAAAGCATCCTAAGGATATTAGAATCCTTGGTTCCAGTTTACCTTGCCTTTCCTAAGCCCCTGTATTTCTGTTCTTTCTTTAATGCTATAACCTCCCCCAATAATCTTTGAATGATTCATTAACTCATTATATATGCATGTATAATGAAGAAATTTATTTTTTTAATTTTGAAATAGGGTCTTGCTGAGTTGCTTAGGACCTCTGCTAAGTTGCTGAGGCTGGCCTTGAACTTGTAATCCTCCTACCTCAGCCTCCCAAATTGCTGAAATTACAGGTGTGTGCCACCACACCTGGCTCATGTAATATTTTTAATATATTATTCTAGGCATTGTTCTAAACACTGGGGTTAGATAATATGGTAGCCATCCTTTAATTTAGCCTCCAGTGATCCTTGCTTTTGTCCCCAGTAATCCTTGCTGCCCATGTATAGTGACACCCACATTGAATAGAGCTTGTTTTTGTGATAAATAAAAGGTGGCAAAAGTGATAGGGTATAGGGTATAAGGATCTGAAACTATGTCATTGTAGCTTTTACCTTGCTATTTAAGATGGCATGCTTTGGGAAGCCAATCACCATGTGTGAGCTGCTGTGTAAAGAAAAAAAAAACACAAAAGCCTCCCATCAACATCCAGAGCCAGCTTCACAGTCATGGCAGTAGGCCACTCTGGAAGTGTATCTTTGGCCCTAGTCAAGCCTTTAATTGCTTTAATACTGGCCCACAGCTGACTGAATCTCATGAGAAACCCCAAGCCAAACTCAATCAGAAAACTGCTTGCTGCCAAATTCTTGACACTTAGAAACTATAAGAGTAATACATGTTTCTTATTGATTAAAGGCATTACATTTCAGTGTGATTTACTGCCACTAATAGCAAGAAATTGCAAGAGCAATAGATAAGTAATACAATAATAGTGACAAAAAGAGACATAATTCCTGCCTTGATAGAGCACAAATTCTAGTGACAGAAAATAGACAATAAAAAACATATACTATAGGGGCTGGGGATGTGGCTCAAGCGGTAGCACGCTAGCCTGGCATGTGTACGGCCCGGGTTCGATCCTCAGCACCACATACAAACAAAGATATTGTGTCCACCGATAACTAAAAAATAAAATATTAAAATTCTCTCTCTCTCTCTCTCTCTCTCTCTCCCTCTCTCACTCTCTCTTAAAAAAAAACATACTAAAAGAAAACACGTAGTAAAAAAACTAAATATCCACATATGAAAGAATGAAGTTAGATCAAAAATTATACAAAAATTAACTGAAAATGAATCAAATACTTAAAAGCCAAAATTATAAAACTATTATTAGAAAAAAAATGGGGAAATTTTCATGCCATTTCAAATTGGCAATAATTTCTTAAATAGGAGACCCAAAAAGTAGGAAAACAAAAGAAAAATACATATATTGGATTTGAAATGAAAATCTTTTGTGCATAAAAATACACTATCAAGAGAGTGAAAAGGCAACCCAAGAATTGGAGAAAATATTTTGTAAATCACATATTTGATAAAGGAATAATATCCAGAACATATAAATAATTCTTAGAACTCAACAACAAACAACTCAATTTAAAAAATGGCAAAGGACTTGAACAGACATTTTTTCAGAGATACACAACAAGGATATTCAATGATACACAACATTATTAGTCATTAAGAAAATGCAAATCAATGGGGCTGGGGTTGTGGCTCAGCAGTAGAGCGCTCGCCTAGCACGTGCGAGGCCCTGGGTTCGATCCTCAGCACCACATAAAAATAAATAAGTAAAATAAAGGTATTGTGTCCAACTACAATTGAAAAATAAATATTTTTTAAAAAAAAGAAAATGTAAATCAAAACCAAAATGAAATCTCACTTTATACCAACCTGGATAGGGACTATGAAAAAAGCAGAAAATTACAAATTGGTGAATATTTTGATAATTTAAACATTTGTGCATTACTGGTGAGAATGTAAACCAATGCAACCACTTTGGAAAAGAGTTTGGTAACTCCTTAAAAATTAAAAATTACCATATTGTACAGCAGTTCCACTCCAAGTTACTCAAAAGAATTCAAGACAAGAGCATAAACATATACTTGTACCTTGGTGTTCATTTCAGCACTATTTCCAATAGCCCAAAGGGAAAGCAAGTCAAGTGTTTATCAAAAAGCGAATGGATAAATGAAATATTATACAATGTAATATTATTCAGGCTTAAAAGGAATGAAGTCTGATACGTGGTATGATATGGATAAATCTTGAAAACATCATGATATGTGAAATAAGTCAGATATAAAAGGACAAATATTGTCTGATTCCATTTATATGAGGTACCTAGATTAGTCAAACTCATAGACACAGAAAGTAGAATAAAGATGACTAGATCAGAAGAAGGGAATGAAGAGTCATTATTTAAAGGGTACAGGGTTTCTGTAGGAAGATGAAAAGGTTTTGGAACTAGGTAGTGATGACAGCTATATAGCATTATGAATATATTTTTTATTTGTTCTACACTGGGGATTGAACTCAGGGGCACTCTATCACTGAGCTACATACCCAGTCCTATTTATTTATTTATTTATATTTTGAGACAAGGTTTCAAAAAATTGCTAAGGCTAGCCTTAAATTTGTGAATCTCCTGCCTTAGCATCCTAAGTTGCTAGGATTACAGGCATGCACCACCATTCCTAGCTTCTGAATATACTTAATGAATTATGAACCTAAAGATGGTTAAGATGGCAAACTTCATGTTATGTATATTTTTCCATAATAAAAAAAGAAAAGATGTCGGGGATGTAGCTAAGTGGTAGAGTGCTTGCTAGTATGTGTCAATCACCTACACCAAAACAAAGGAAGGAAAGAAAGAAAGAAGGAAAAGGATATCTAGGAATTTGGAGCCTCTTGGAAAGTAAGAATAAATGAAGAGAGAATCTTAGTTTGACTTAGTTAAAATAATAAGTTGAACACATAAATAGCAAAAAATGAATTGGTATACTGTATACAGAACACTGAAACAGGGAAGGGAAGAGGGAGCGTGAAGAAGGGTTATTGCTATTTTATTTTTTCGCTGTAGATGAACACAATATCTTTAATTTTATTTATTTATTTGTATGTGGTGCTGAGGATAGAACCCATGGCCTCACATATATAAGGCAAGTGCTCTACCACTGAGCCACAAACCCAGCCGTGGTTATTTTTAGTCAGGGAATACCTCACAGAGAAAGTGGTGGGAGAGAAGCCATATCTGGGAAAGGCAACTCCAGGCAGAAAGAACAAATACAAAGTCTATGAAGCATGAACATGCCTGGTACATTCAAGGAGACAGCGGGATGGTCAGAATGGAATGAGTAAGATAAAAAATTGT